CTTAGGTTACATCACATAGATCGAATCCCAAAGAGTGGACCACACGGAATACAACATAGAATTACCACCACAGATAGTGCGCCCCGTAAATTGCACCCCATGTATCGCCGCAAGAGGTTCATTACACAGACCTTGAGGCCAGGGTTATCCGTACCCCTCCGCACGCTATGTGCTTAGGATTATCTTGCACGATCGCTATACGTGCGTGCTATATGTATAGACAGATGTATGTACCATTATACACAGATATTCTAGGCCTCTCCTGAATGGATTCCGAGTAGATGGTTTCGGAGGATCGCGCCGTATCGCCGATGCATCGACGATGCGGCTTGATGCAGAGCCCGTGTTTCCCCACGCCGACGTCGCCGATGTATCACCGATGCATCGTCGATACATCGGCGTTGCATTGGCGATGCGGCGCGATCCTTCGACCCCATGTACTCGGACCCCATCGAGGAGGCCTTTAGCTATCTATATGCATCTAGAAATGCACATAAACAGATATCAAAGTATAGCATCCGAGCCAAGCTAGCATCGCCCCTCCCATCTACCGCCGTAAATGCCGCCACAACATGATGGTAAATTGTGGGGCACATCATTAACAGGCCATTGGCTTTCTAACCATTACAAGACATATCTATTCACGCACTACTAGAAACTAGCTGTTGGTTCAACAATGTTAGCCAGCGTGGACCCCAAGCGCAGTAAAGTACTGTGCTGTGAATGTGTAAGCTACATGGTGTATGTTTTGTGGTGCAAGCTACGTGGTGAAAGCTATGAGGTTCAAGCCATGTGGTGTATGCTATGTGGTACAATCTACGTGGTGCAAGCTAGGTGGTGCAAGCAATGTTGTATAAGCTATGTGGTGAGGCGCCAGCGAGGCGGCACGGGCGGCAGCGAGGCGGTACCAACAGGGCACCAGCCGAAACCCCGACACACCCACCCAGCGCACGAGGCAGCAACGAGGGGGCACCAACCAGGCACCAGCCGAAACCCGGACACACCCACCCAGCGCACGAGGCGGCAACGAGGCGGCAACGAGGCGGCACGGCGGCACCAACTGGGCACCAGCCAACACACCCGCCCAGCGCACGACGCGGCAACGAGACGGCACCAACCAGGCACCAGCCGAAGCCACGACATGCCCATCCAATCCCTTAGCAACCCAAGTAGGCACCCCTATGTGCAAGCATTGTTTGAGGAACAGTCGATCTGTATGCGCTCGCGCTCACCCGCTGAAATCACAAGAAAACCATCAGTGATTGGCCACTCCGTCAAATGAGACCACACGGGCCACAATCAGCAGCCATCGCGCACCCGCCGACGGTGTCAGATAAAACTATGCGGGCCACCCGCTCGCGTCTCCGCGCGCACACGTCGGAATCAGGATATAACAATTATGGTGGTGCATGCGTTGCAACACATTTATGCTCAATTACATGCAAAAACCCCAGGACACACCAATCAAAAAGAGTGTGCTAGAAATTATGTAGGTTTGCGTGCACTTCCGAATCACCCTCATAAGCACAAGCGTTATCAGCATTGCCAGCATCATCATTACCGTCTTTATCATTTTCACTACCGTCCTTATCGTCATCATCGCCACATGCGTCATCATTGTAAACGTCGATGTCATCGCCCTCGTCATCATCGCCACCGCAATCACCATCGTTATCGTCGTCATCATCAGCATTATCATCATCATTGTCTTCGTCGGTGTCGTCGTCGTCGCCGGTGTCGTCACCATGATCACTCGCTCGCCCGAACCATGGATCTGCATGAGCAGGGTCCGCGCGTCACTGCGTCACTTGAGATTCGCGAGCAAGGTCTAATGGGTAACTGCACTCACGGCCAGTACGAGTTTGCCAACAAGCTGTGGGCTTTAAAATGGGATCATTGCACGAGCAGTGAAGCTAGCGATTTCAAGTCCTTCACAACTGATAGCACCCCACAGGTTGCGACGCATAGATTTCACCACATAGCCTGCCCCGATTATATGATTTTACATTGAAAATTTACAGATCTGCATGTGTTTAAACGTGCGCTGTATACATATATATATATATATACATATATATATACATATATGTGTATATACATGCATGCGTACAGACATACATAAATAGTTGTTCCTTATATCTGTACATGTAGACACATGTATATATACCCAAGATGTCCCCTAGCACATTAATGTCACCTCAGATACCGCACCACATAGGCTGCGCCATGCACAGAGTTCAACGCATGAACTGAACACCGAGGGTACAAGAACCCATTGTGTGGGTTGCAGCCTGGCGAAGATCTGGCGTCGGTTCAATCACGGAGCTTTGGGGGCGACGATGTTGGGTGTTTCGAAGCTAGTCGCGATTGGGCATGGGGAGATTATGTCGAACGCACACTGGTCCTCGTAGATGCCATGTTGTGTTTCATGGAGGTGCGGAGCTGAACCTGCAGAGATTGTTTCGAGTGTGCGCAAGGTGCCGAAGTAAGTAGCACGCGT